GATGTGGGTGGTTGTGTGTGGGTGCAGATCCCCATGGGTGGGGGCGGACATGGGTGGTGTGGACCTGCGTGGAGCTGTGCACAGGCCCATGCATATGGCGTACGGGGTCTCAGTCATTTTATCCTCCATGGTTTTGATTACATCTATTTTTCCTCCAAACATCTGCTTTGTGGGGGACATGCCACTCACTCTGTTCTCGGGTGAGCTGGCCCCACACACCCTGTGGCGGAGTGCACACAACGATGTAATCTCCTTAAAAAAAAACAGGCCAGCGTGAGGCCCTTTCATGCTATTGAAAGGGCACTGACTAAACCCACTGCTGTCCAAACAGTCCTGTGGGGGTGAGGGCGGAGGTTAAAGGTTAGCCATTGATCACGTCCCCACCCTACCGCATCCGCCACTGGGGTCTGTCCAGAGCTCAACTTGGATGTCCCTAATTTAGCTCCAGTCCCAATAAATAATGCCAAAGGGGTAGTAGTGACTGGGCTTAGATTTCAGCACACATGCACGGGGCACAGCTGTTTGCAGAGACAAACAGTGTCCCGGCCCTCAAGGGGCTGCCAGTCTTCAGCAGAGGGTGGGGTGGAATGGCAGTCCTCAGGCTAGCCAGTGGCACAGGCCATCCTGCTCACCCACAGCCACCAACCCAAGCCCTGAAATGCTCTCGACATAAGGAAAGTCTGAGAAACTGCCCCAGACTAGAGGAGGCCAAGGAGGCATGAGGACTAAGTGTTATCAATGTGTTCCGCATGGGATGCTGGAACAGTAAAAGGACATAGGGGGAAGCCAGTGAAATCTGAATAAAGTGTGGAGTGTGGTTAATAGTAATATTTAACAAAAAGCGGGCAAAATATTCTAGCAGACACTTCACCCAAGATGATATGCAGGGAGAAAATAAGCATGAAAGATGTTCAACCTCATTACCCGCTATGGAAATGCAAATTAAAAGCACAATGAGATACCACTATGTGCCTATCACAGTGGGAATAAGAAGACCTGATGATGCCAAGTTACGGCGATGTGTGGAGCACCCGGAACTCCCATCCCTCACGGCGGAAACACTTGGGCGGTGTCTTATCTAGTTAAACTAACACTGACCTCATGACCCAGCAATCCCACTCCTAGGTATTTACCCTACAGAAATAATGGCTTATTTTAAGAGGAGAGAAACCCAAACCCATAGGCAAATGTCTGCAGCAGCTCTATTCAGAATCACCCCGAAATGGAAACACCCCAAGTGTCTTTTGACAGGGGAATGGAAAAACGCAAGCTGTGGTCCATCCAGGCCACGGATCGACTCCACAGTGAAAAGAAAGAACTGTTGACAAACAATGACATGGATGAATCTCAAGGGTGGCCTTAGGGTCTGTAAATGAAGCCAGTCTCAAATTTACATAAAGGGCAACTTCACTCAGCTGGCACATGAATTCTGGGAAAGGCAAAACTACGGGGACTCTAGGCAACAGATCGCTGGTTGCCAGGCACAGCAGGAGGGAGAAAGTTTGTCCACAAGGGGCTTGCACTGCTGCGATGGAACTATTCTGTATCATGACTGTGGCAGTGAATACATGAATCTATACATGAGTGTGTTAAAACTCATAAAAGTGTACACCAAAAAATGTTTTACAGCTGGGCACAGTGGCTTGCGCCTGTAATCCTAGCACTTTCAGAGGCAGAGGCCGGTGGCAGATCACCTGAGGTCAGGAGTTTGAGACCAGCCTGGCCAACATGGTGAAACCCTGTCTCTACAATAATCTCAGCTACTTGGGAGGGTGAGGCAGGAGAATCGCTTGAACACGGGAGGCGCAGGTTGCACTGAGCTGAGATCGTGCCACTGCACTTTAGCCTGGGCAACAAGAATGAAACTCCGTCTCAAAAAAAAATTATTCTAAATTAATAATGGTAAGAATTCACTAGAGAGAAAGTTCATCATGTCATTGTTTAATATGCAGGAAAACTGACAGTAATCAAAATATTCATCAATAGGGGATTGGTTAAATAAAGGATGATATTTCCATAAACGGAAGATCCTTCCCGATAGTCTTTATTCTGCAGGCTATTTCTTTTTTTTTTTGAGACAGAGTCCCGCTTTGCCACCAATGCTGGAGTGCAGTGGTTCGATCTCAACTCACTGCAACCTCATTTCCTAGGTTCAAGTGATTCTCAGGCCTCAGTTTCCTGAGAAGCTGGGACTACAGGCATGGGCCACTACACCCCGCTAATTTTTGTATTTTTAGTAGAGACGGAGTTTCCTCATGTTGCCCAGGCTGGTCTTGAACTCCTGGCCTCAAATGATCCACCCGTCTTGGCCTCCCAAAGTGCTGGGATTACAGGCATGGACCACCGCGCCAATATTATGTATTTATTTGTTCTTCTGTTTTCCCTTTGTTTATTGTCTCTCTCTCTCTCTCCCATGGAGCAGGGAGTATATCTGAGCATGTGTGCTTTGTTTACCCTGCTATGTAACACCTAGTAGCATAGCTGGCATGCAGTAGATACTCAGTAAACATTTGATGAACAAATGAATGAAATTGATGCTAAGAAAGCATAGTGTTTTAACACATGCAAAGATGTTCAATTTATATCAAATAAATCTCATTTTGACCAAAAAAGAGGAAGGGAGTGGAGCATTTGTCCTCAGAAAACACTACAAGTTTCCAGAAGTGGCAATATGGATCTATGGGTTAATTTTGTTTCTTTTATTTATTTATTTATTTATTTATTTATTTATTTATTTATTTTTTGTCAGGGGGCAGGGCTGGTCCGAATTAATTTTCTATTTGTTCTCCCAGGAAGAGGTTGAAACGTTACCTGAAACCAGTGATTAGAATCCTGGATGGTGCATGCTCTGAGAGCAGGCTGGGCTCTGTGCTGTGGGATTATGAGAAGCAAGAGACAAGCACCACTTGGAATGGGCTGGAGGAAGGTTAGGGAAGCTTCCGAGAAAGGCCCTTTTTTCGCCGTGGGGATTGGCCACCGTCGTCACAAACTGGGCCCCTGCAACTCAGACCTCTGGACCATGATGGATCCCAGTGACGCTCAGGGTGACGCTCAGTCCCGACCTCCTGAGGGGTTTCTCCACCTTCAGGCTCACCACCCTCAAATACAACCAGAGAGTGTCTAAAACATACACAGCCGGTCATGTCATGGCCTTCTCTGTAGCCTTTCACTGGCTCCCAGATCCCTCCTTAGAATGGCCAGAAATAATACAGGAGACTCGGTTAAACTGGGATTTTAGATAAACTGTGAATACTTTAAACAATATAAGTATATCCCAAATATGGCACAAGAAATACTTACCCTACAAATTATTATTTCAAATGCAGATTTGACTGAGCAACCTGGTTTTGTTGTTTGCTTGCTTGCTTTTTGCTAAATCTGCCAACCCTGTACATCAGGCGTATGAGGCATTCAGGGTCCCGAAGGCAGGACTGGTCCCACCTGACTCAGGGACTTACACCCCAGCCTTCCATCTAGCTTGAGTCTCATAGACCTGCTTCCACTCCGCAGCGCACTGCATGAGCGACTTCAGGCTTCCGCACTCCTGCGGGCACCCTTCCTTCTACCTACCATGTCTCTCTGCCACTCCTGTCTGTGGCTAACTACTACTTTCACCCAGATAGCTTTCTCTGTAACTTTTGTGACTTTTCTTTCCCCTTACAAATAGTAATCTATGTTCTGTATGGAAGATTTTAAAAAAATCAAGACAGACCAAAAGAAAATCACACACACACACACACACACACACACACACACACACACACACACACAGAGAACACATTACTTTGTAAACTTTTTTTTTTTTTTTTTCCAGATAGAGTCTCACTTTTGTCTCCCAGGTTGGAGCGCAGTGCTGCCATCTTGGCTTAGTGCAACCTCCACCTCCTGGGTTCAAGCTATTCTCCTGCCTCAGCCTCCCGAGTATCTGGGATTACAGGCGCCAGCCACACCTGGCTAATTTTTGTACTTTTAGTAGAGACGGGGTTTTGCCATGTTGGTCAGGCTGGTCTTGAACTCCTGACTTCAGGTGATCTGCCTTAGTGAAAACAATGGCTGTTTTATTTAATCCATCCTCTTCTGTTGGGCTCACAGGTTTCTACTTGTTTGAAATCATAGCAGGTCTCTGATTTAAATCTTTCGATACATGCATGGCGATTCCCTTAGAAGAAGCTCCAAGACCTAGAAATACGGGGTTCAATTTTCCACACATCTGAGGGGCTCTGGGAAACATGGCCAAGCTGTCTTCCAGAAACATGTAATGTCCTCAGCTGCCGCAGTGTCCGCTCCCACTTCACAGCCAATAATGGTCATTAGAGTGTCATTTTGGTCATTTTAAAATCTTTGCCAGCATGATGGATGAAAATGAGATCTTGCCTTTCCTTTTTATTTTTTTCTTTCTTTTTTTTTAACTATGGAACCTTTTATTTTTTGTATTTCTTCTGCTGTGAATTCCTCTCCTAGGCTTTCGAGGCTCAGCCAAGGGTCACCTTTCTTCCTCCCTGACCACCCTTGCCTCTTAAACACTGAATCCTCCGCTTTACAGCAGCAGCTCATGGGCCTTCTCCCTCCCTAGACTGTGAGCTGATCAGAGTGGGCCTCCCAGATGTACTGCTGGGGTCTGGAGCTGGGGCCTTCGCCTGCTGTGAGCAAAGGCTCAGGACACACCGCTGGAATTAATGCAAACGCCCGTGTGTGCCTGGGTTGGGGGAGGCTCCTCTGGGCTCCCTCTGCCTCTGGTATAGCTGGGGCAGCTCTGCAGGGTGGCCAGTGTGTCTGCAGGAAAGGGCCCCAGGCCCCGCAGCTGGGCTCCAGACGCAGGAGGGCCTTGGTCCGCTACACACACTGCTTGTGTCGGGAGGCTGCTGCATGGAGTTGGAAGAAGGGACCTTGCAGGATGAGGGGGGTCGAGGAAACCAGCCACAGCGCAGGGCAGGAAGGACCAAAGGTGACCCTGGCAGCTCCCTGACCCTGGACAAACCTCTTGGCTTCTGTTTCCTCAGTTCAACAACATTGCATGAATTCCTGCCAGGGAGGAGTATGAGAAAATAGAGGGGCACAGCCCCGCGGGAAGCCAAGACTGAAGAGGAGTCCCCGGCCCTGGCTGCTTACCCAGAAGGCTAAGCGTTCAGGTTCCAGGGCCCTACTCCCAGACGGCCAAGATCAAGACTGCAGTTGCGCATGCTGGCCACCAGGAGGCACTGCAGTTCCAATAAAGTCACTGGACGGAAGGTGGTGATCCTGGGGCCCCACTGCCTGATGAGGTTTCTAGAAGTTTGTTTGAAGACCCAGGTCCTCGCTGGGAGGATTTGCCACTCAAGCAGTAATTCAGCCCTACTATGCGTCTGCCACCGTCCCAGCACTACAAGGGACAAAGAGATGGATGGGGCCAGTCGCTAGCCTTCCTTGCAGCAGTCTTCCCTCCCTAGTTCTGGGTGTTTTCACATTCCTGCCCATTCCAGTCCCCTCCGAATTCCCACACGGTGGCCCTGGCATCCTCATTGGACAGATGGGCAAAGTGAGGCGCCGAGAGGAGGGACCCGTGAGTGTCACCAGCGACTGAGTAACAGACAGGCTGAGACCTGGGCTCTTTTCCATTCCCTAAGTGGTCCCCCTTTGGAGACCCATGGGGATTCCTTGGCCCTCCAGGGAAGATTGAGCCCAGTGGGTGCTCAGGAAACTGACTAACTTACAAAAGCCTTTGCCTTGCAAAAGCTCCCCCAGGACACCCCTGTAGTTTGGCCCAGCGGCTCTCCATGTGGCTGGCAGATTTGTTACCAGCTTCCCTGTGGGTTCTTCCTGAGGCAGGCATCTGCCAAGGCAGGGTCTGCAGCCCCCTCCTCCATCGCTCCACCCTCACACAGAAGCTCTCTCAGTTCTTCCCTCAATGGCAGGGGTTGTGGTTGGGGACTGTCTTTCTCTTAGTCCAGAAATGGAGTGGGCTTCCCAGAGTCCAGGAAGGAAAAGGGATTAATGCTGGGCTCTCTCTCTCTCTCTCTCTCTCTCTCTCTCTCACACACACACACACACACACACACACACACACACACACACACAAACCAAAAAACAAAACCAGGAACTGGGCTTTGTACTTTACAAAGTACTAGGGCATCTATTATGCCACCAGTAGAGTTCCAGCCTCTTTACAACCATCAGGTTTCCATTTTGCAGCCCCAGAAACTGAGGCCAGAGGGGTAAATGCCTTGCTGAGAATCAATAACTGTTAAGAAGGTCCAGGGGTGGTGGATCATCCCTGTAATCCCAAAATGTTGGGAGGCCAAGGTGGGAGGGTCACTTGAGCCCAGAGTTCCATCTAGCCTGGGTGACAGAGGGAGACCTGTCTCAAAAAAAAAAAAGAAAGAAAAGAAAAGAAAAAAACCCAAAAAACTGGTAAGAGGCAGAGCTGAAACTTGGACTCCAGGCCTGGGGCATGCCCGCTGGGCCCTCCTGGGATGGATGCTGTGGGTGGGACTGGGACAGGCAAACAGGAGACAGGGTCGAGGAGGAAGGCAGGAAGATGGAGAAGTCACAGGAGAATGGCTGCTCTCAGCTGCCTTGAGAGATTGGCCCCCTCGCAACCACCTTCAGGGCTGCCCCTGATCAAACTGCCCTGCTGAAGATCAACTTCATTGACCATCTGGTACCTCAGATGTGGACCAGTGCCTTGTTTCAGGGCCTACACACACTGATGTACTTAGAGGCAAAGAGGCATATGTCTGCAACTTATTCTTTTCTTTCTTTCTTTTTTCTTTTCTTTTCTTTTTTTTTTTTTTTTTTTTTTTTGAGATGAAGGCTTGCTCTGTCGTACAGGCTGGAGTGCAGTGACACAATCTTGGCTAACTGCAAACTCCCCATCCCAGGTTCAAGTGATTATCCTGTTTCAGCCTCCCGAGTAGTTGGGATTACAGGTGCACACCACCACGCCCGGCTAATTTTTGTATTTTTAGTAGAGTCGGGGTTTTACTATGTTGGCCAGGCTGGTCTTGAACTCCTGACCTCAGGTGATCCGCCTGCCTCAGCCTCCCAAAGTGCTGGAATTACAGGCATGAGCCACTGTGCCCAGCCTGCAACTTACTGTTAAATGATTCAGCTGTATATGGTATGCATGTACACCAATACATACATAAACAGAGCATATACACAGAGAGACCCAGAGAGACCGAAAATGACAATGCAAATATGGCAAAACATCACCATTTGGGGAGTCAGCATAAAAGGCATCTGGGAATTCTTTGTAGTCCATTTGTGACTTTTCTCTAAGTGTAATGTTATATCAAAATAAAAAGTTTTTTAAAAGCAAAGGTATGTGGACTAATGGAAAGAAGGCGCCTTCCCTAGGAAGTCCTCTTGTGAAGCTGGCATTTGTAATCATTTGAACAGGACCTGGACAAGTTACCTAGCCACCTCCCCGCCTTCCCCTTATCACCACCACCGTTCACAGTTCTACAAGGGGCCTTGTATGTTGCAAAAAAAAAAAAAAAAAAAATCCCAAGACAAATGCCAACTCTGGGAGCACACCTTGCTCGCCAGCCCTCTGGAAGCCCTCACTTCCACGGAAGCCATTGTGACCCAATGAGAACACGGGGCTCCTTTGAGCAGCTCTTCTGAGAGCTGTAGGAGGCCAAGGTCAAGCTACTGTTGGAACTTCAAAGTTTGAAAAGTACTTTAATTTTTGAGTCTACTGTAATTTCAACTGTCCTACAGTTAGTACAAATGAGTAAAGGTTCCTTGTATAAAAAAAAAAAACTGGTGGAAAGAAAGAACCATCCTTAGGACCTCTGTCCAGCCCTCAGCCCCCATGGCCCCTCTGCCAAGGGCTGGGTCCCCTCCACCCCCCAGCTTGTCTCTGGAATTTGTCTTTCCTGTCCTCTGCCCCACCGTCTTGCTTCACTGATTCATTCATTGGGCACCTTGTCAGAGCTTCCCTTAAGAATCATGGCCTAGGGGAAGAGATGGACGAGGGACAAGCATGGCCAAGAGTTCCAGGGTCTGCAGGGCAAGAGTCTAGTTTCCCAGACATGGCAGGGCCCACAGAAAGGAGCGGTCGGTTTCCATTGAAAAGGTCAGAGAAGGATTCCGTGATGGAGTGGCTCTCGAATTGGGTCTTGCCAGCCAAGAAGGACTCAGCAAGGCATGTTGCATTTTATGGTAAAACAAGATACCAAGATACCATCCCCCCACCCCAAATAGGGCAAATCCCAAATTACCAAGGGAGAAGCCTTAGACAGGAGCTCTCCAACCAGGGCCGATGACAACCATGACAGCAATAATGTAATGCCTTGTATTCATGTTGCGACCCACCCACTATCTCCTCTGACCGTCTATCCCATGAGGTCAGTGTTGGTATCTCCATTTCACAGATGAGAAAACTGAGGTCCAGTGAAGATGAATGACTTGCTCCAGATCACGTAGCTAGGAGGGGCAGACCGGATGGTCCCATGCCAAGCCCACTGCCTCTCAAGGTGGTGACGAGTCATCTTTCTAACATGGAGGACTCCTGGCGGGGTCGGGCAGGCTTCATCTTGTCCTAAGGGGGCACCGCTGAGCCACCAGGGTCATTTCTATCTCAAAGGACTGGGGTAAACCAAGCTTCAGGGTCTCCGTGAGAAGCCCACGTGTGATCTAACGCTTGGAGATCACTTTCTGATGTCTCCTGGGGTGGGACAGGTGTTCTGGCTTTAGTCCGGGCTCTAAGTGCCCCTGTCAGCTTCTCTTCTCAAGGAGGCTAGAAGTTTCCCAGCTCCTCGTCCCATCCCCAAGCTCCATCTCATGGCGTGGGTGGCTGGATGAGACCCTGTCCCCTGCAGGACCCACTGCCAGAGAAGCAGAGTCTCCCATGCTCTCCCCTATCCCAGCAATACATCTCCAGGGCTCAGAGACCCCACTGGACCAGACCCTCCCTTCACAGCCAAGATGCGGAGGCCCAGAGCAAGGTCATACTGCCTGATAATGGAAGGGCCAGGACTGGAACCCTGCACCTCCCACGTCCAGCCTTGTGGTCTGTCTGCCCATTGTCCCTCTCAACAACCCTAAACCATGTGGCCCTGGGCGTGTCCCGAGACATCTCTCACTTAATTCCCCCAAGCCTCTGTTTCCCTTCTGTAGCAGAAAGAATTCTGCAGCTCCACCACCTTCACCAAGACACTGTAATACCGCTTTCGTCCAGAGGCAGGCGAGACGGAGAGGCTCAGATCCTGCACGAGGTGAAATGAAATGAATGAGAAGTCTTTGGGGTAGGACAGGCCTTGGCTTGGCCCCTGGTTCTGCCACTTATTTGCTACATTCATTCATTCAACAGCATTTCTGGAGCATCAGCTATGCGCTGGGCACAGTTCCGGGTGGTGAAAATACAGAGCCCAGTAAAACACAGTCCCTCCCTTCAAATGGCTTGCCTTGGTGACAGGGGCTGTGATTATAGTGCAGGGTGGTGACCAGGGCGGGGCACCTAGCCCAGCCTTGGGGTGAATCCAGGTCTCTGTAGAGGAGGGGTTTTGAGGCAGCGATGTGGTTGGAGAGGTCTGTTAAAGCTGTGTTTAGCTAACGTGTCACATACGACTAGGGAATGCCAGTTTCCCCCATGAAAGAAATGGGGGCAGAGACTAAAGGAGATTATTAAGGAGGCTCCCAAGTCACCCTGTGGTTCTGCCACAGAAGGGTATCCTTGGAAAAGTGACTTGACCTTTGTGTGCCTCAGTTTCCTCATCTGTAAGATGAGGCTGAGAACATTCACAGCCCAGAATGACTGAGGTCTGACTGAAGTAGAGTGCAAGACGGCATATCCCCTGCCCCACACACGGCACCCACTCTATCAATGGGATGCCGCCACGATATATGAATACAGTTTTGATTTGGGGATGAATTTGGCCGTGGCAGCTGACAGCCAGGGCAATGTCACTCAGCCTGCAACTGTGTCATCCCCACTCGCTTCCTTCCCCAGGTGCATCCTCTGCAGTTCAGGTTTCCTGAGCGGCAGCTCCCAGAATGACATTTATGAACCATAAACCTCTGTCAAAAGTAGCTCCCAGGGTCCCTTTCAATGAAGGGCCCATTTCACATACATATAACAGAGACTATAAATGGGGTGAAACACTGGCAACTGCTGTAAAAATCAAATGTTAAATGTACATTTATTTGGTTATATAGACTTAAAAAACTTTTAAAGAGTGGAATCGTGGCAGCCTCTGCCTTTAGACTGTGCCCTCGCCAAGGGCAGGGGAGGGGTGTTACGAGGCAGCGTTATCCCTTGCCCTGCCTGGTGTCGGTGTCTGGAACCCAACAAGCATGTGCTGAATTGAACTAATCTTAAACAACTGAATTTCTTTCTTTCTTTCTTTTTTAGAGATGGAGTCTTGCTCTGCTGCCCAGGCTGAAGTGCAGTGGCGTGATCTCAGCTCACTGCACTTCTGGGTTCAAGCGATTCTCCTGCCTCAGCCTCCCAAGTAGCTGAGACTACAGGCACACGCAGCCATGCCCGGCTAATGTTTTGTATTTTAGTAGAGACAGGGTTTCACTGTTGTTGCCCAGGCTGGTCTCGAACTCCTGAGCTCAGGCAATCTGCCTGCCTCGGCCTCCCACAGTGCTAGGATTACAGGCATGAGTCACTGCGCCTGGCCAAACAGTTGAATTTCTTAGCCTGCAGAAGCAGCATATGATCCCGGAAAGAATGTGCTGCTTTCGCCAACATCAAATATTTTCTTTCTCAAATATGCTCATTCTTTTATTTTTATTTATGTATTTATTTATTGAGATGGAGTCTCGCTCTGTCACCCAGGCTGGAGTGCACTGATGCCATCTTGGTTTACTGCAACCTCTGCCCCCCGGGGTTCAAGCCATTCTCCTGCCTCAGCCTCCTGAGTAGCTGGGGTTACAGGCACCTGCCACTGCACCTGGCTACTTTTTGTACTTTTAGTAGAGACAGGGTTTCACCATCTTGGCCAGGCTAGTCTTGAACTCCTGACCTCGAGATCCACCCACCTCAGTCTCCCAAAGTGCTGGGATTACAGGTGTGAGCCACCTCACCTGGCCCAAATGTACTCATTCTAATCTAGAGAATCACTTACAAACTGAAAAAGCAACAAGGCTTTTCTCCCCATGGATGAGAAGGGGAAAGTAATGGCTCAATTAATTATAGGCTTTTTTTTTTTTTTTTTTTTTTCTGTTGCCTAGGCTGGCGCACAGTGGTATAATCACAGCTCACTGCAGCCTCAACCTCCTGGGCTCAAGCAATCCTCCCTCCTCAGCCTCCTGAGTAGCTGGTACTAAGGGCACACAACACCACACCTGGCTAATTTAATTTTGTTTTGTTTTGTTTTTTGTAGAAACGAGGTGTCACTATGTTGCCCAGGCTGGTGTCAGACTCCTGGATTCAAGCAATTCTCCCATCTCAGCCTCCCGAAGTGCTGGAATACAGGCATGAGCCACCATGCCCAGTCCTAGTTTGTATTTTAAGAAAGTCATCAACTTCCTTAGAGATGATATGAATGGAAAAGACTTTTCAATATTTGCTTTTTAAAAAATCCCACATTTACAACTATAAAATAGTTAACAATTCAAAATATCTAAAGGATAATTATATCTAAGTTTTGGTTGGCGTTTTTGTATAAATGGCTGGGATTTGGGGTAGATGGGTTCCAAGGATTTTGCCTATCACATATAGTAAGGATAAAATATAAATAATCAATGTTTCAGCATCCACAATTAACGTGTTAGTGAAAAATGGTTCTTTTGGCCCTGCAGGGTAGCTCGT